TTTTTCAAGTTACCAAACATTGACTTTAGATGGAGGGCTAAGTTAAATGTCATAATTGAAGATAAAACAGTTTGTGTCAGGTACTAAGTGTTTGGCCAATATGCTGAAAAAACTGCTCCTCATGACAAGTAAACAAATAATTGAAATAGAAGCATAGGTAAGACACTCTACCCACCCTTCATCAAAACGAATGCAAACACATTGAATACATACAACTAATGACTTAATACAATTTTCAACATCATCTATGTAGGGAGAAAAATCGTCAATCCAATACGTCTGGTAAATGAAGATTATATAGTTCAGTTGAGGTCAAACACATACAAATATCAAGGCATCTCTACAACATCGTATACAGTGAGCTTATTGCATGACTCTTCTCACCACCCCACCAGAAAAGATGAAGAAAAATCCACAAATGAGGTGGGCCCAACCACTAGCACACGTGAATTGCCCCCTCACAGAAACAACATGAGATTATTTTAGGACATCCTCATCCATGAGATTATTTGGGGGGTCATCTAGATGATGTGGAAGATTTTTTTTAAGATTATTGTTGAGGAGATGCGATTATTTTGAAAGATTATTTTAATGAAAAATCTGGTATCAAATATTGAATCCTAAATTATTCAAGATTATTCCCAAGTTTTAATGAAACGCATTTAATGTAACCCTATTTTTTAATTTGGAATGACTAAAATACCTCCTTGGAAATAACAAAAAAGAACTCTATAAAAACACTAAAGAAATGGAGATCATGATTGAGAGGGAATAAGTAAGCTTTGATTTTATTTATGTGACAATGACATGACAAGAGAAAAGTATTAAAAAAATCAAATCTTTAAGAAGCATGATTTAAGATGTTGTTACTCGAATGCGAATCCATATATTAGAATTCGAATCACTATATTTGAATCATTTACCGCCCTAGTACCCATGTTAGTTGACTTGTTTAATCAATGGGTTGAAATGTTCAATGGGTATATATCATATATTAAACAAGAGAAGTTAAATTAGTAGCATCTATTTTGAAATTTCAAATAAATACGAGTAGCATATTCTCACTTGAGAAACATATGCGTACGTGAGTGTTCTTTAACATTATCAAACAGATACCACAGTTTTAGAAGATATCTCTCTTTCAGGTAGCCAAATAGGGTATACATTTTATATACACAAATATGTGACATTAATTTAACCATGAGCGAATTATCTAAATAGAAGTAAAAATGTTTTGAAATTCCAAAACTGGACTATCATATTTTTTGTTCTCTGAATATGAGTAAATTTCTGTCAAGTTTGGCATTACTAGGCTTTAAACATGACGGTTTTTCCCAAACTTGACAGATTAATCTTATTCAAGGAATAAAAAACATGATAATCTATTTTGAAATTTTAAAACGTTTTTACGCAATTTCTGTTTACCTATACTTATATAAAGTTACTAATTTTGTAACGCGCGTTGCGCGATCGAGTTATGCCCAATATATTTACATGTGTCTAGAATGTATTGTTTAAATTGATAAATAGATTTCTAATGCAAAAACAATGACCGACATGAAGTTAAGAAGGATAAATGTCAAATGTATTCAGTAAATAAACTTATTAATTGTATTAAGTCTTCATGGTTAGCAATTGGCAAGAAGCAGAACAATGTACAAGCGGAGGACACATAATCATAAATTATACTGCACATCATAAGCATATATGGTTGAGTCTTCATGCTCAACCATTTGTTCGAAGAATTTTACAACAAAAGCTTTTTTTTCTAACTTTTTAATATTTTTGAAACATTTTTCATTTCATATTCACTTTTTCTATTACATAAAAATGTATTTATCATCAAACACTATCTTGTAATATTATCTTAAAATCACTTTTCTTCTCACATCACCAACTTTATTGTTATTGTTAATCACTTCGTAGAATCTCTCAATTAAATCACTTCTCCTAATAACAATCAAACACAAACATTCCTCTATCTTTCATTGCATACGAGACAAGATGTGTTTATATCTCATTGAGGCTATCTGACAATAGAAAGATGCTAATTTCTCAAAATTTGTGAAAGAACCACAACTGGATAAAAAACAGTGTGATCTTATTGAGTCAAAGAACTTATTATTATTTATGTATTGAAAAATAACTTGGTATAAGTGAATACTAATCATGAGAGTATAACTCGTTCACTTTCAAATTTTATGACCTTATTAGTTTTCCCCCAAAATATTATATTAGTTCATAATATTTAATAATTTAATAAATAAATAAATTATGATAGTTGGTCAGCTGATTGAATTGCACCAAGAATGGTTCTGAGTACTTGAATGAAAAGACTATGGAAACAGCCCTTATGTATGTAAAAGGAATCAATAGAGGAAGATTCTGCAAATTAAACTATGTAATTAGCAGCCACATTGTATTTAATGTATATTCAACATGATTAGGAGCCCTAGAACAATTTTCATAAAGAGATCCATAATAATAACCAATAAAAAGCACTAAATTAAAGAACGCTTGGAACCTTATATGATTATGTCTCTCTCAATATAGAATTTATATGCCTAGCTTCTCCTTTTGACAAATGTTGCTACGCCAACCACCATCATTGCTAAGTGCTAACATGTAGAGAATCACAGCTTTAATTACCAGCCAACACTTCTTTTTCTCAAGCAAAGGAGGAAAAGCAACTCATCATATGTCACTTTATTTATACAAGAATTGCAGCAGCAGAGATGAAATATGTGGTTGAAATGATCACAAACCAACATCTTTATTGCAGAATTAGAATACACACATTTGCATGGGATTAAACTACAATTGCTGGTAGAAGTGAAAACCTTAGTGATGCCAAGACTTGCAAGCATCACATACTGTATTTGAATGTAGTGTATTTCAATGGCTATGAATTTAGCCGTGGAATAAAAAAGATGCAGAAAACCAAAAAGCACTAACCATCTGTTGACTGTTGACTGTACGCATCAACGTGTATTCCTAAAGTGAATAGTATTGTTTTCAAACAGTCAATCAACATGAACAAAATTATAAATTGGGACTATTCAAGTTTGTTATTTATTGAAATAAAAGACAATCAAATGATTTTCTACGGGATGGGAACAAAATGGAAGTACAGAACTAAACATATAGATAGCAGTACTAAGGCGGTGAGGAAATTCTGAAATTTATATATTGGCCATAGGTTAAAGCTCTGCTCTGCTAGTTAGGCTCTCCCCACCATATATCCCTACGGAAAGAAACATCAGAGGACGTAGGAAACCAACTGGTCACAAGTTCACCATGAAACATGAGGAGAAAAAAGAAGAGAACATATGTGGTCGCTAGCACCAAATGGACGGAAACAATGGGAGAAGCTTGGTTGACGGTAGGATGCCAGATGCGGAACAACTGTGATTAGACAAACGGAAGGTAAATGACTGAAAGGTCACGAAGTGAAATGGAACGTAAGTATCTGAATAAAGAGTACAATAGGTAGGTTCAGGTGTGCAACTCTAGTAAGCAAAATGGTTACACCAACACATTTTTTCTACCTAAAATGCCCTAACCTTGATTCACAATTATAAGTTTGTATATGCTAGGTAGTTTACTCGCTACTCGGTAGCAACTCGGTCAAGGCCCGAGTAGTGAGTAGGACCGATTACTCGGGATTACTCGGTGATTACTTGGCCTTCTATTAATTAAATATAATAATATAGGTGCCCGGGATTATAGAAATATAGTAGTCTTAAAATAGTCTCTAAATTGTCTTAAAATGCATAGAAGTGAATAAAAGGATAGAAATCCTATTACCCTAATGATGGAGTAGCAAAATCCTATTATCCTGATGATAAGAAACGAGACAAGGAAGGGGAATATACGAAAGAATTGATATCATTTCTGACTAAAGCTCCAAACATATACACTGCCAAGGAAAAATTAATATAAAAAATGAAAGCTTAACATATAGTATAAAGGGAACTTAATGCCTCAGGAATTTAATAACTAAGAAACTTAGCAACATGGAATTCAATAGTCAAAAATTGCGGCTGCAGCAGTTTGGATAAGCGAGAGGGAAGAATTTAGCAGTTTGGATAAACTTAATAACTATGAAACTTAGCAACTTGGAATTCAATGATAAAAAATTACGGCTGCAGCAGTTTGGATAAACGAGAGGGGATTAATAATCCCATGATCGATTTAAATTTTTTAACAAGAGGGACGAATTGAAGAAACGAGGAAAAGAACATATCCGTTGATGTCACAACCGCAGCTCCTTGATGTAGCAGCAGTAGTCGATGCTCCAAACGATGTAGCAGTCACAGCTCCAAACGATATAGCAGTCCTAGCTCCAAACGATGTAGCAGCAGTAGTCAATGCTCCAAACGATGACCAGTAGCGATTATATGTTTAGGTTTTGTAAGCACATGCTCTTTTTTTATATATACCGAGTAATAGCGAGTAACTCGCCAATTTGACCAACTCGCCGAGTATTCGGCGAGTAACTCGGAAAATTAACTCGGGCCGAGTTAAGGTGCTACTCTACAAGGTAGGAGGCCGAGTAGAGAGGACTCGTCGAGTACTCGCCGAGTACTCGCCGAGTAGATAACTTAGTTTTTATGTAAGAACCTTGATGCACAATTATAAGTTTGTAAGATATAAGCCCAAATATTCCTTAATTAAATTCGATTTTCTTAGTAAACTTACGGAGTAATAATTAATTAAATTAAAGAAAAAGTTGACAAGAATAATCTCACCTTTCACTGGTCTTCTCATAATAATCTCACCTTTACATAATCCCAAAGTAATCTCACTATTGCACCTTATCTTCTTTCATTGGACTTTGATCAAGTTTTTTACCCTTCTTTGAAAATCTTATATTAATAATCTCACACTTATAAAGATATATAAAAAAGTGAAAGGTGAGATTATTTATATGATTTTCAAACAAAGATTAAAAAACTTGATCAGGGTCCAATGAAAAAAGATGGGATGCAAAAGTGGGATTATTTTGGGATTATGTAAAGGTAGGATTATTCTTGTCCCAAATTGAAGATCACCATTCACTGAATTCTTAAGCGCATAGACTACCGGTGGGCGTTGCTCAATTGGTAGTGCCACAAAGGTTAGGTCTCGGGTTCGAATCCCGGCAACTGCAATGGGGGTTACTATGGTGAAAAATGCATAGAGCTTCTGCAAGTACCGGGGACAGAGCCTAACTCTCTATTTGTCAGATTGTAATTATAATCCAATTTAGATTCTTCCATCGTGCCGTAAGGTCGGTGTTTGGGGCCTTAGGATGTGATGGGGTGTCATCTTTTTTTAAGCGCATAGACCATCACGAATCCGAATCTCGTTGTAACTGAGCTTTTCTACTTCTTGCTTGCTGCGTAGCTATTTCTGTTTCTTGTGTGCAGATTTGAAGTTTTTTCTACATGTGAAAGTTTCTTCTATCTGAAAGTACACAGGTATATTGCCCCATACCCATTAATGTATTGATTGCTATGATGGAAACTTGGTTCTCTCTCAGACTCTCACTATTTAAAATTTAATCTGTCCTTTATCTCTATGCTAAAATTTGAAAAGTAAAGAGACTGCAGTGAGAAGTGGGAGAAAGATCGTGGCTTTTCAGATGGGTGAGGCTGATGCTGACGGGGCTAACAAGAAAGTTGTTTTTGTGACTGTTGGAACTACATCTTTTGATGCTCTAGTCACTGCGGTGGATACTCCTCAAGTCAAGAATGAATTGTTCAAGAAAGGCTATACTGATATAATTGTTCAAATGGGTCGCGGAAACTATGTTCCTGTAAAGGTAAAATTTTTTTAGCCTTCTTACAAAAATGTAACTTTAGAAAATGTAACTTTAGATTTAGGGGTGTTTGGATCTGCTTTTCAAAATTGTTTTTTTTCCTTTAGGGAGCATAAACATGTATTGTAGTGTTTGGTTGAAGGTGCACTCGTACTTCTCGGTGTTCTAAATAACTTCTAGAAGAAGCTTCTAAGAAGCTGGAGGAGACCAACTTGAGGAAAACTGATTTTGTAACTACTTTTGCTTTTAAAGAAGAAGCATAAACATAACCCTAGATGCTAAAATAGGGTTCAGGAGAAATAGCACTTGGGAGAGTGATAAGAATTAAGTAGCACTGTAGCATAACTTGGTTTCTTTGCAAATTGTGATGTATACTCCATCCTCACAAAGAAAGGTTCACATGATAAGGGGCCTTATAAAATGAGACATCCACCCGTTTTTGTGTTTATGATTTCAATGCATTTTATCTTTTTCATGTTATAAAACCTTTTAATTTAAAAAGATGGAGTAGTTAATATGGGCTGATCTGGAAGATTAGGAAACAAGATGCATTGGATTGTTAGAACAACAATGGTTTTGGGACAAGAAGTCTTAGCTTTGTGATATTCGCTTGGGATGTAGGGAGTACATGTTTTTTTAGTATTTAGTTTCTTGTTTTGGTTTCAATGTTTCAAGTTATTCTTATTGATGATCATATACTGCGTATGTTGTTGAAATTAATGTTCAATCTTCTGAGTTAAAAAGATTTCTTTGACATTTCTCTATTCACCACTTTGGCACAGCCTGTCATTGAGAGTATAGAGGCAAGGAGATTAATAATCAAGAAAGAAGATACTATGTACTCTATAAAACTGAAATAAGAATGAAGAAACATACGCGGTATGCTTATTTATAATCTTTCACAATATGGAAAAAGGTCAGAAGTATATCAGTAATGCATCAATGATGTTAATAGCTATTTCTAAACTTATGCTGATTGGATTATTGATTCGTTGCTCATTTATTTCCCTTATCAATACCCTGGTTGGCTGGTTCTCCTCTGGATTTGCTGATCAAGATCCATATCCGCCTTAGTTAACAGACTGTGCCTGATAAGTAAACCATAGTATTCTCAAGATTCATCATCCCGCCTTAATCCCAACAATGTTGGGCTGGTGGCATGAAACATGTAATTCTCTTTGTTTTCCAAAGATATTTCACACAATAAATTCTTACAGAAAATGATGACAAACCTTTATGCCAAATGCCCTTCTCGCTAGTCTCAACCTTCTTGCAAAGGAATTTAAACATATTATTCTCAAAGTTACTACTCCATATTTTTTTTACCTTCACCTCTGTACAGGAACTCCTGATTAGTTATATCTGTGCAGACACATTTCTCCATTTGACATACACTCAGTAAATGTAAGCATCTTTTAAGTTTATGTTGATTGATGTGCTGACCCTCTCCACAAAAGGTGTGGAAACAAACCATACACTCTTGTGAGATCGACTCGTGATCTAGTGCAGATAGACAATGTGAGAAGTCAGTATGGATATTGGCATAAGATGATTGGCACTATCTGAAAACAGCTTTAAGTTTTTTATACAACTCACCTGAAGACCACAAACACAATAAAAGCGGTTTTAAAATTCATTGTTGGAAGTTAGAAACATATGTTATATTTTTTTTGCATCTTTTTATTTGCTTGCTTTAGATATCAGTTTAAAATTTTCAGTCTGCTAAAGAGAATGGATCCCCGGCTATGGACTGTTTCACTTTCTCATCAAGCATTGCCGAATATCTGAAATCAGCTTCTCTTGTTATTAGCCATGCAGGTTAGTCACGTTGCATACCACTATTAAAAAGTAGATGCAAACATTTATGATTATACTAACAATTAAATTTGATTAGGGGGCAGGTTCAGGCAGCATATTTGAGACACTACGACTCGGGAAACCATTGATTGTAGTTGTGAATGAGGATTTGATGGACAATCATCAAAGCGAGCTGGCAGAAGAACTCGCAGAAAGGAAGCATTTGTTTTGTGCTCGGCCTCACACCCTTTATCAAACGATTGCAGATATGTGCTTAGAGTCTCTTCTTCCATATCAACCGGGTAATGCTAAGCCAGTGGCAGAACTCATTAGTAGGCATCTTGGTTTCCTTGAAGAATGAATAATCTGTTATTTTCTTTCAGAATTGGAACATGTAGTTGGCATAACTGTGAAATCCTAAGAAAAGGGAGAGATAGTTTCAAATTTAGAGTTTGCTCCAATAACATCACCCACTCTTAATTTGAGTTGCAACCACAGTTCAGAATACACTTGGTAATTGTTTGTTACAGGTGAAGATGCTTACTATTTGTAGTTACATTGGTTAGTTTGCTGGTTTTAATCATGCATCATCCGGATCTTGATTTGTAAAATAAATGTATGAATATTTCAGAATTTTTCCAAAGTTCTTCGAAAGATATTTGTAGTTCACTCTTCTCCTTCACTGCTCCAGTGCTCCACTCAAGAAGATTCAAAATTCAGTTTAACATATCTTAAAATAACAAGGTGCATTGAGTAAAAAATATTGTGTATAATACAATTAAAATCCACTCAAGAAGATTCAAAATTCAGTTTAAAATATCTTTAAATAACAAGGTGCATTGAGTAAAAAATATTGTGTATAACACAATTAAAATAAATAAAATAAGTTTTACATCTATCCCTATTTAGAAGCTGTTCTCTTCACCTGATCTGAATGTTTCTGATCTGAATTTTTTAAGTTCTGATCTGATCTGATCTGAATTTTTCTGATCTGATCTGACCTGAATCTTTCTGATCTGGTCTGATCTGATCTGAATCTTTCTGATCTGGTCTGATCTGAATCTTTCTGATCTGATCTGAATGTTCCTGATCTGATCTGAATGTTCCTGATCTGATCTGAATGTTCTTGATCTGATCTGAATGTTTCTGATCTGATCTGAATCCTTCTGATCTGATCTGAATCATTTTGATCTGATCTGATTTAAATATTTCTAAAATTATAATTATAATTTTAATTTCAATTATTATAATTAGAAATGTAATTACACATATATAATTTATATGTAATTATAATCATAATTATAAAAAAATTATAATTATAATAATAATAATAATAATAATAATTATAATAGGTATAATTATTATTATATGTATTACACTAGTTATAAATATAGCTTTAATTAGAGGAAGTGGTCCAGCTCAGCTGGTCGCCGACTCACTCTCTCTTATGGGATGTCTCGGGTTCGAAACTCAATGGGGTGAGTATCAACCTAGTTTACTTCAGCCCCCCAGACCCCCTCCCCCAGACGCCTCCTGGAGTAAACAAAAAAAAGCTATAATTATAATTGTAATTATATTATTAGTTATAATTATTTCTATAATTATAATTTAAATTTTAATTATAATATTTATTTCTATAATTTTAATTGTAATTACTCCGTGTAATATAATAATAATAATAATTATTATTATTATTATTAATATTATTATAATTATTATTATAATAAAAGGGATAAATCATGTCTGAACTTTTCTGATCTGATCTGAATGTTCCCGATCTGATCTGAATGTTCCTGATCTGATCTGAATGTTCATGATCTGATCTGAATGTTCCTGATCTGATCTGAATGTTTCCGATCTGATCTGAATGATTCTGATCTGATCTGATCTGAATCTTCCTGATCTGATCTGAATAAAATAAGAATAAACAATAAGTAATATGATTAAGACGAAATGTTTTGTAAATGGTTTATTAGCCATTTGTCATTTCTATATTCTTTGTTGGGACGTTCCTACTTCCTAAAAAAGTACTTTCTGGCCATGTTTGGTAAATGGTTTATTAGCCCTTTGTCATTTTTGGCTGGTTGGATCAAGTTTAGTTGTTTGACTCGTTGACCTTAAATAATATGTTTGGTGAATAGCTTTTTGAACCAGCTTCTTCATCCCAATTCCCATGCGGCCAAATAATTACTCCCTCCGTCCCAAAATTATTGCCCCATTTGTTTTTTCACACAGATTAAGAAAATGATACTGTAGCGACACTGTTTGGCACTGTAGCAACACTATTTGGCACTGGAGCAACACTGTTTGGCAATGTTTTGCACTGTTTGACACTGTTTGGTTTTGTTTACCAAATAAGGTAAATAATCGAGACAATTATTTCGGGAATTCGGGACGGACAGAAAAGGAAAGCGGGACAGTAATTTTGGGACGGAGGGAGTACCTGATTGGAAACACTAAGAGCCCGTTTGGAAACCCCTTTTTTAGGCTTATCAGGCTTATCAGCCAGCTTTTTCACCAAACACGTAATTTTTACTTTCGCATGCTGAATTGTGTAATAAGCAGAAAAAGTAAGGTTGGAGTTACTTTTCTGGCTGTATTGGCTGAAGTTACTGTAGATGACCATTTTAGCTATTTTTACATGTAATTTTTTCTTTATTTTATTAATAAAATATATTTTTAAAATATTTTTTTCTAGAATCAGCAGAATCAGCCAAAACAGCCACTTCAGCCAGAACCAACGATCAAATCTACCATCCTATTATTTGAATTTTAAAGCTCATTACTCCTTGATCCAAACTATCTGACACTACAAAAAACTACGGGATTGACACCGAATTTGGCACGAATTTACCAATTTTTGTGCCAAATAGTTCGTACCAAAGTGTTTTTGGCACGAATTTGGCATATCCCTGCCAAAATCCCTGCAATCCCATGTTTTTTGTAGTGTGATGGTGACATCAACGCTCAAAGATTCTTGATAGAGGTATGATCCAATTGGATTGTTCTTCTCTTCTGGTTGTGCTGATTTTGTTCTATGGCGGTTTTTCCTGGACACGGGTGCTCTGAGGTGGTTTGTCTTTCTCGATGTGGGGAGTTATGTTGGTGTCTCGGCTAGCTTCGTCTGGTCAGATGTTTCTTTCCGCTATCTTCTAGAGTGCGTGGACATTGGTAGAACTCGTCCTCCTCCAGAACCACCTATGTGCCATTAAGAGTTTTGTAGAAAGATTTTATTTCCATTTTATTTTTTCAATAGTAGTACTTGTTTTTATTTTTGTTTCATTAGGTTTGGTTGGAAAATTTGGACTTTTGGCATACGTTTGATAGACAATATTTCAGTCCCGATTGTTTTAGGCTTTAAATTGTCCGTTTCGTGTCTAGCAAGTCATGTTGTTTTGAATGAGAAGACTGATTTTAAGTCTATTCTCAGGGCTCACAATTGAATCTATCGTAACTGTTTGGATGTTATCTTGTATCTTTTCTCGATTTTAATATAAAAGTCAATCATTTATATTCAAAGAAGAATAGTTCAAGTGATGGTGTGTTTTTAAATAAGTAGTTCTTCCCCCGTTCTTAAATAAGTGCAACAATCAACATTTCACATTGACGATGCACAACTTTGACCATTAATATATAACCCATATTAGTAAAAAAATAAAAAAATAAAATTTTAAAATTTACAATGCGACAAATTTAACAATATTTTGAAATAAATATATTAATGCATTAATAAATAAAACGTAGTCAAAGTAAAGTATGTGAATAGTGTAAAATTGAGCATGTTGCACTTATGTAAGAACTGAGGTAATATAGATGATCATACAGTGAAAGAAACAAGTTTGAATGTGCATTTGAATATAGTGGGTTGTTTATTTTTTGAGATCAGGATTATAAGGATATTTATCTTCCAATGATATAAATATTTCTATAAATGGAGAGGAGAATTAAGGTGCAAAACAACAAATATTTCTATTTTTATTGGAATTTAATAGTTCTTCCCTAAATTGGAATCCTCCTATTCAATTAAATGAGAGTTACAAATAACTACCAAACAGTATTATACGAAAATGTCCTTGCCTACTCAATCGATGCAAAGTTGACACAAAAAGTAAAATATTGACGCAAATAATTTATTTGCATCCACAAGTGGACGCAAATTGATCGACGCTAATAGTCCGGCACAAATACGGACTTTATTTGTGAACTTTAGGTTTCAATTAGTTAATATAAATTCTTTAAACCCCAACAACACAAATAAAACGATATAGTTATCCATAATAATCAAACTAAACCAACTACAAACAATTATATAAATGCATACTTCTATAAAGTATAAATATAAATATAAAGTTAAAGAGTTTCTTTGAGTGTATGTTCTATTTTCTATTATGAATTTATCGCAAAATATAAATATTTCATATTTATATTTTATATTCTCGATTTGTGTTTTATTTTGTATTTGTATTTGACATTTTTTAACGATTGAAAGGTGAATTGAACAACTCGGTCAGGTTCAGGGGTTTATTTAACCCCTTTAAGTTTGCCACCACAATGTACCATTGACACATTTTCTAATGATATGGCGTTGACCAGATGCTTACCTGCAAATAGTTAAATGGTTAGATTTTTTTATCCACACCTCAAGATGTTAATTGGAGGTTTTTTTGTTCATGAACGAATTGGACATTACGGACAGTACATGGTCTTTTTTTATAGTGACAGTACATGGTTTTATAAATGATTTTTTAGTAATTTGTACTTATAAAAAAAATCTATGATTTCTAGTCTTTTGGGAAAACAAAGTCGTTGACAGCCGGATATTTAGTGTGCTTGTGTTGAACGAAACCCAAAAGTCGTCGGACAAAATTAAAGTGAGTCCACCCTCCCTTCCCCCTGACTCCACAATATTCCACGTATTTATTTCCTAGTATTTATTTCCTCACAATTGGCTTTTTGTTATGATAGATTTTAGGAATTTTATCAATCCATAACCTTAAAGATGAAATCTCTTAACAAAATAATAAGCATGAATGAGGGTAAGCCTATTTTAGGTACAAAAAAATTGGTGGTAGTATTATATAGCTAAGTTCACATGTACCATGTGCTTAAGTATTTGTAACCCCTCTAGTTTTGTACATCTTCATTATCAAACGCCGTCTATCCTCCCATCTGTTAGCCGGTACCTTCATAAACTAGCTTATTAGCGGATAACGGGATAAGGACCTAATTCGGTCGCAGACAGCCCCCTTCGTCTTCTCTTAATGTAAGGCATTTTTTTGTATATTGTCATGGTCACCCCCCTCGCCCAATCATATATTTCTGAAATCCCAAGTCGTTGATTATCCTTCTCATCCTCCAGAGGCCAGAGTAAGGACCACCGCGACCGGCGAGGCTGCTGGTCTGCAAAGTGGTTGTCTTTCCTTCCGTGAGTCAGATTCACAAAGGCCACAACCAAGCTCCAAGCTCGAAGCTCCAGTGCTCCTGCTCCAGACGGCTAGACCTCCACGCCCCAGTATTGAGTTTCTTAGTTTCTGTCTTTCCTCCAGGTTGATGTATTTTATGTATTTCTCAATTGAATTTTTGTTTGTATCAATTGTAAATTGTATGTGTATTTTGAATTTTTGAACTTTGACTTTTCAAAATTGGAAGCTCCTAAGCTTTTTACTCCTTTCTTCATAGTTA